CATGACATATTCATCTTCATATCTACAAAGTCTTTTGCATGATGCTAAATATATATATATATATATATAATTATATATATATATATATGTATATAAATAGTTATTTGAGTGTTGTGGTGGAAGAGTTTAATCCTACAATGAGTGCTTTTTTCCTTCACTTGCAAAGGGAATTTTGTGCGTCGTTTCTACCATCGCAACATTGTCATCATGGAAGGTTGTGAGGCGACTGTTTCATTAGAGAAATCAGCTTTCGAAAGTGGAATAAGGGGTTCGCTTCTTTTCTCTTTCCCCATATCTCCGTATGTAAGAATAGTCTATCAATTGCCTCTACTTCTAGTCCCCTTAGGCATTGTTGCAGGTGAGTCTTGGCCTAAACCATTCACTCTTTGTCGTCCTTCTGACGATCTGATAAGCGGCCGTAATTTCTGCTCCCACCGCTTCATACTTCTCGGCATATTTCTGCTTTTTCTCCTAAAATTAACAGCATTTATCGCCTGAATGCTGATTGTTAGGGTCATGATAATACTGATGATGATGATGAGGAGGAGGATGATAAAGAAGCTGATTGTGGTGGTGGTGAAAAGCGTGGCAGACCGTACAGACTGGCCCATTGTTGTGCTTCTACTTTGAGTTGGCTGATCAAAGGAGCCTCAAGATAAGTGTTCCTATGTTGAGTAGAGAAAGTCATATGCCTCAGCGAATTGCTCATCAAGATGGCAAAAGGAGATATGAAATGTATGAAAGACCGATGTGTGTAATCGAACCTCCGCCCCCCCCCCCGAATTGTAATGCACACTTTCGGAGGAGGTATCGTATTATGCACTTAATTGGCTTGTCCGATCTGGCAAGCTTCTATCTATCACGATAGTGCCTCAAAGATCTTTGAAGTATGTACATTTCTCTTCCGGCCCGTATGCATCTTTCCCTTTTCTCATGCGACACTTCGACGGAAGCCGGTACCAGAAACGTGAACGAGAATGCGAATTACGCATCGACTGGCAGAAGACTGCGTCGTCATTGCAGCGAACTTGGCATTCTTCAACGCCACACACGCATGCAGACAACCGACGAACAGGGTGGGCTGGCGTGTGATGGTGCTTGACTTCACATGCTCTCGGTCGGCCGAGGCAAGCGCAAGGACACATCTGGCCACACATGTATGCGGAGAGATGAGTGTCTATGTGCATACCAATTGATGTGCACGTCAGTCTGGGACGGTTGGACTGTGGCAAAAATGGTCGTCTCACCAACCAGTAATGTCTGCTCTTCTTCATGCGGGTAGGGCAGCAGCGGCTAATTGGGGTCTGAGCAGTGGCCACTTTCTAAAGACATCTTTCCATTTAAAAGCCTTCCAAATGAAGGAGATTGTGGCAACGGAAGCAATTACTGACATTATCATAAGCAGACTGCCATTATCAAAGAGGAAATAATTCCTACATGATTGTGAGTTGCATTCCTTCATATACGTGCATGTGAACATGGCCGTGGCCAAGAAGGAGTAGGTTATAGAGACCGATATTTAGTGTATACAACAGGATATATTGCAGATATTTGTCATGTAAAAGCGCCCCGACGATTTCTTGGCCACCATTTTTGGCCAGAGGAAATCGGATATTGCAATTATCTTGCATCAGTCAAGGGATACAGATGCAGAACTGGGCGCACAGCGAAGACGAGGTGAGTCTGGTGGGAGGTTTAGGCACAGCTTTTGGCGAAAGCATGACCAGAATTGGCGCCAAGTGTTTTTTTGACTTGAATTCTCAATGTAATCTTGCAAATGGAACCAAAGTTGCTTGCTGGCCGTATCTACTTGCAAATCGAAGACAGAGCAAAAACTGTTGCACTAAGCAAGAAAAGATGGAGAAAATGGTGAAATGAAAATATGGCCAGTTTTGTTACTTTTGTCAAATGTTGATGTCCTTTGCAAATCGGTCG